CAAATCGCACTCTCGCCTGCATTTCGCGCACTCGACACGCACGATCTCCGCAGAGGGTTGCACTTTCGGTTGACGCTGTTCGTCCCACACTCCGCCTTTAAGAGAGAATTTATAAAGTGGGGAAATGTTTTTTCATTAGGACATCTCCCGTGCTAGTTTTCCATACTCACACTTGCCTACTCATTGCATGCTTGTATACTCATTGCGCGCTTGCATACTCACCCTTGCATATCATGCTTGCATACTTACACTTGCATACTTTGACACTGGCATACTTCGCACTTGGATGCTTTCGCTCTTCCAGTGTGTGTGTGTGTGTAAGTGTAAGTGTCGAAGTGTAAGTGTTCAAAGGATTTTCCGGAAGAACCCTTCGCAATGCTTTCGGGAAAAAGTGCAAGAGCTTTGATTGATACAACAAAATACGTCTGCTTCCTGATTACTTTACACACATGGCCTCAAAGGACACAGAATCACTCGAAATGTGACTCCATGCGACGGCAAAATGTTCCTGGCACAACTTGGAGAACGGGATATGTCACAAAATCTCAGAACTCTGCAGCGGTAGCTCATTAGGATCATAGGGCAGGTAAGGATCCTGCCAGGACACCGTGACAAGAGACACAAGTTGCCGCATCTCTGTATTTGGGGGACCCTTGCAGCATCCACTCAGTCAAGTAAATCCGCACGACAGGAATCTTATCTCTACAGTACAGGATCCGAGAAGGTCTTCCATAAGGAGTTACACCGCCGTAGACCCCAAACAGTTTGTGTTTTTCAAAATCGGAACACTCTGCAAATAGAGCTTGCGACGTCCAGAGCTGGGAGACAAAGGATTGCAAGGCAGAGGCGGCCACAGCAGTCAGACACAGGGGGACAAAATGTAAAGGATTGCAAGCGACATGCAGCCCAAAGCTGGGCGACAAATAAAGGATTGCAAGGCAGAGGCGGATACAGCAGTCCAGAGCTCGGAGACAAATGTAGACACAGGGAGACAATGCAGCCCAGAGCTGGGTGACAAATAAAGGCTTGCAAGGCAGAGGCGGCCACAGCAGTCCAGAGCTGGGAGACAAATGTAGACACAGGAAGACAAAATGTAAAGGATTGCAAGCGACACGCAGCCCAGAGCTGGGTGACAAATTAAGGATTGCAAGGCAGAGGCGGATACAGCAGTCTAGAGCTGGGAGACAAATGCAAAGGCTTGCGAGGACACATGTAAAGGATTGCAAGGCAGAGGCGGACACAGCAGTCAGAGCTGGGAGACAAATGCAAAATTAAGGATTGCAAGGCAGAGGCGGACACAGCAGCCCAGCGCTGGGAAACAAATGTCAAGGATTGCAAGGCAGAGGCGGAAGCGCAAGCGACACGCAGCCCAGAGCTGGGAGATAAATGTAAAGGATTGCAGGGCAGAGCAGCTGGGAGACAAATGTGAAGGGTCGCAAGCGAGAGGGGGAGAGAGGAGGCACATGTAAAGGAAAGAAGGAAGACAAGGCGGACACAATGACCAACAAGAAGGGGCACAACAAGGGAGACAAGAAGGGCAACAGAAGGGAGACAAGGCGGACACAGTGACCAACAAGAAGGGGGACACAGTGACCAACAAGAAGGGAGACCAAGGGAGACAAGCCGGACAGAAGGCGGACACGCTGTCCGGGAACAAGGCGGACACTCTTAGAAAGCATTTACTGTAGAACCCCTAACAGTAACCTGTTTGGGGAAATACAGAAATCACCTGGGAGACAAATGAACAGAAAAACAAACCGCATGGGAAACAAATGAATAGAAATGCTGCATGGCCAGCGGCAAAGGCGGACACCAGCAGTGCAGGCACCGAACCTGGGAGACAAAAGTAAAGAAATCACTTTAAAAACAAACGAACTGAAATGCTGCGTGGCCAGCGTCAATGGGCGGACACCAGCAGTGACAGAAAGGGCGAAAAGGGCGGACACCAGCAGTGACGCAAAGGGTGGACACATCTTAAGGAAGAATTGACAACCCCTAACAGTAAACTGTTTGGTGAAAATCAAACGACTCTTTGAAGGTTTGAGGACTTGCTCATATGTACCCGAAAATCAAAAACATCCCTAAGCAACAAAAGCAGCAAGCAGCCTTTTGTCGTATTGCTTTGAGAGATGCATGGGTCCTCCCCAGACCCCATCCTTCAAGGTCACCTTGTGACCGTTCCACGTTTAAAATCGAGGGTGTGGCAGGCCTGCCTACTATGCCTGTGGGCTCCGTCCAGGCCAGCGGCACCTGTCAGGAGACCAGGGGCCTGGGGTCAGGAGGACTCCCACCGGATCCGGTCACGGGATCTTGGGTGGGACGCTAGGAAAAGTTCATACTCGACAAAAGGCGAGTCGCCAATGGAAAAGAAAACAAATCATTCGGAGCCGGTAGCCCGGTAGCCGGCGCTCCGATGAAAATCCTTGAAAGTCCGGATGTGTGAGTTCATCCGCCCAGGTGGTGAATTCCCGGGGTATGTGGGTTGGAGCCAAATTGCAGCCCTCACGGTGAAGAGTCAGCACCAACTCCGTCAAGAGGGCCGCGGTGCGTGGTTTCTTGGACGAGAGGTTCAGTAGGCTGAAGATGTTGCCTGAGTTGTCACTGCCTACAGGTAGTCGGACTCTGCCCAGCGCAGTGCCCTGTTGAGCAATCAGGTTTTTGCACAGGAGCAAGGTGCCCAGCAGCTCAAGTGCCGCGATTCGCTTCTGGGGTTTGCCATCTTTGAAAGCCCATGGATGATCGGCAGGTTTGATCTGGTAGTGGAACCAGAAAACTTCCGCCTTGGAGGGATGGAGGTCCTTGCTACACCATCCCCCCACATAGGCATCACCTTGGGCTGAAGCGCTAGCATCGCTGCATCCCCACCAAGGAGACTTTGGCAGGAAGGGGGAGTACTGCTCGAAGGGAAGAGTGAAGAGCTCCATTCAGGAGATAGGCCAGCATGCGGACCACCTGGCACTGGGTGGATGTCCCATAGTTTGTACGGCCATCTTCCAAGCCCAGAAGGGCTGGCAGCATGGATTTGGTTAGTGGGGAAGAGGCTGTGGCCCACTGGATGCGGCCCATGGCTTTCTCGATGGCGTTGGCAGACATAGCCACCCCATTGATCAAGTCCTCCAAGACAGCCGCGACCTTGATGCGCTTGGGGGCTGCCATTTGGACCCGTGGGATTGAGGGGTGGCAGGGGTGGATCACAAAGCCCAACCAGGCGTTGATCTCTGCCAAGTGAGTCTTCTTCCAGCTCAGCGGTGTTCCCAGTGCAAGTAATGTGCCGAGGAGCGCCGCGGTGAAGGCCATTCCCGTAGGGAGGCGGAGCAACCAGCAGAAGTCATCCACAGACACAAATCCCCAGTCCACTTGTGGGAAGATGTAATAGAGGAGTCGCGCCATCCTGCCCCAATAGAGCTGGGCGCTGGCCGTAGGTGCCCACTTTGTTGACCCACCATTCGTCCTCAAGCTGGGCGATTTGGAACCGCCAATCTTGGGGCAGGACTTTGACGCGTCGGTGCGCCTTAGTAACGTCAGCTTTCAGGAGAGGATCCTCAATCTTGATCGGGCCACTGCCAGGCAGTGTCCTCAGCGGATCACCCCCCACTGGAGCAGGGCCAGAGGCACCTGGACCAGACGGGGGGCGGTCAGGCGCCTTCAGCTTTTGCGCCGCATGAAGCCAGTGAAGAGCGTGGACACAATCCAGGCCGGTGGGCGCAGTGGTCCGTTCCTTAGTATTCTGTTGGATCTTGGCATTCGCTCCCCCGATGGAGCCATCATAGATTGCGCGGACCTTGTCCCCTTCATCAATACCTGCAAGGGGCCCAGGGCAGAGTTCTGATGGAGAGCAATGGCACCATCGGGCCGCTTCGAGTTTGGTCAGTGGTCCCACGGTCATTCCCATGGGACCTCCATGAACGTGGACCTGATTTCTTTGGCAAAGTCTGCAGCCGATGGGTAGTTTTGGCGAAGGGCGCCCCCGTGCTCAAAACCTCAAGTTACGCCAATCTGGGTCGCCCGCTTCGTAGGCCATGTGCGTGATGAGGTCCAAGTAGAATGGCTGTCCATCTGCGATGGTGTGATGGGTGTCTGGTTGTAAGATCTGCCGAAGATCGCTAAGGGCATTGGCCCAGGGGTTGGTGCGAATTCTGGTGATTACATCGTAGTTCGGGGTAGGTCTGTTGAGAGTGTGGTTGCCTTCTGCACCAGTTGACCGAGGCGGCACTGGTCAAACTTGACCCTGGTATGGTAGAGTTGGTTGGCGGACTCCGCCATCCAATTGCCCAGGTACTGGCGTTCCGAGCAGGGAACCCCCAACTGAAAGGCACAGTCGGGGATGACGATGCCTTCGGACCTCACGGTCCTCCCGAAGTTTTGGACACCTTCCAGTCAATCACCACATGATATGATCATCATTACAAAGGCCAACAAAGGCTTCGGAGGGGTATGCTCAACAAAGCGTGGGTTGGCTACAAGAGCTTGGACTGACCATGTGGCTGCGCTTCGCAAAGCTGTTATGGCAGGCGACAATCGTATTACGATGGAAAAAATTTGCGGCGGTGCCCCGAGTTACACTGCAATCCACGGGGTGGCCCCCGGCCTCGGAGCCAAAAGATATCATCTCCGCTACCAAGAAAGCGACAGGCCTCGCCCCAATTCCGTCGAAGGCGTTTCGCCTGAATGGGGTCTTCGGCTGGACTTTATCGTTCGAGAAGAAGCCCAGCATCATGACCTTCACAATTGAGATCAATGGCCGACTTCATGAGGTCCTTTTGGTTGAAGATGCTCCTTACGTCACTGCTCGCACATCGACCAAGAATCCCGCCAAGAAAAGGGATGGAAAGACACAGCCTGCTGCTCCTCCAACACAGGCAGTGAGCGAGCGTTTTCCGTCTACCATTGCCCCATCCCCTGAGGCTGCAAGCTGCCCAAGTGCCTCGTGAGCGCGAACACAGTGGGGACACACCGCCCCCCAAAGTTGCGAGGGGGTCCGCTCCCTATTGACCGCATGCCGCAGGGCCTGTGCGCCCATTCGTTTCGTTGGATTTATTGCTTTGTCTGTGCTTTCTGTTGCCCGTCTTGGCACGGCCCTTCCAGGCCTACTCCTTGTCTCTTGTCACTCACTTCGAAGCTCAGGCTCTGCTGCTTCTCCCCTCGTGGCTTTTTCTTCTCTTAGCTCCATGTCCTCCGTGGAATCATGGGTTTCATACTTTCGTTGCATTTGTGATGCTGTCCAACGCACCTGCAGCCGGGCGTTTTGCCAATTGTGCACACAGATATCGCCTCTGCTTAGCATGCTTGGATTTTGACGGTGTCATTCGATGCTGCTGCTCAACGCTCTTCATCTATCCGTATTTGAATGTTTGTGAGCTTGGTCTCCTGATTTATACTTGGTTCATCATTTGCTTTTCTCTTCAATTGAGTGTTTGCCGGCAGCATCACAATTCGCTCTTTCAGAGACCACATGATTTGGCTCGCTGCAACGACTTTGCAGAACGAGCTGGGGTGCGAAAATCTCAGCGGTCTTGTGAAGAGCGGGATGGGGTTGAGGGGTTCTCCTCTCTTTCGTCACACCTTTTTCGCACTTGTTTAAATGCGTTTGTTCATTTCTGGGGTCATTCATGCCACAGCCTCCTCCGGGGTTGGTTTCAGGTGTTTGCATTTTGCCTCTGGGTACCAACTCATGGATGGCCACGAGCTTTTGATGCTTCGCTTGGTTTTCCCGGAGAAGGTCCACGACCAGCCTTTTCTAAGAATCACCATGAATATTGGCAGCCTCAAGACCTCTAAATTATGGAAAGCCTCAGACACTGACGTCACATGTCTCCAAGAAACCCGTATCGGGAAGAACAATTTCCGGCGTGCTACACAGGATGTCAAAGCCTTACACAGGACTCTCTTTTGTGGGGACCTTTTGGCAGGCATTATTCGATCGGACGGGGCACAAACCACAATGCACGGGGGTACTGCGATTATCGCTTCGGATGTGTACACCAAGCCTTTCAGACCGGACGAAGATGTTTCTGGAACGTACGCAAAAGTGTTCGCAACCAAACGCGCTAACGCGTGCTGGGTGCAGGTAACTGCAAGCATCAGGGTTCTCAATTTTTCAATTTATGCCCGCTCTGGCGCGTCTGCCAGTCAGGAAATTCTTGAAGAAAATGAAACCCTTTTCCACAATATATTCCAAGTGGTTTCCCAATTTGGTAATGTACCAGTCATCCTGGCTGGCGATTTCCAAACCGACCCTTTGTCTTATCCAAGTGTGGCAAACGCCATTCATTTTCACGGTTGGCAAGACCCACTTCTTCAAGTTAGCGGTGATGGGAGTCCCTTCCGACCCATCACGTACTCCAAGGATAGTACCTTTTCGGGGGCTTCCGATGGCTGTTCATCCATTGATGCAATTGTCTTGAATTCCATTGCTTTCAATGCACTTCGTGAAATCTATGTGTTGGAAGTCTTTCAAGTTCAGCATCGACCCATTAAAGCCATTTTTGCTTGGGAATCCTTGGTCCTTGAAGGAGACATACATCAGAAAACGGCCCCCCTCGACACTTCTTCGATCCCCATTCGAGGTCATCCAGGGTCCGATCGTGTCGAGTCCATGTCCAAGCAGTGGGAAGACCATTTCCAACCTGTTGTTCAAGATGCACCCGACTTTGAAAGTGCGTGGGCTAATTTGAACAAGTTTTGCCTTTCTGCCCTCCTTCAAGCTGGGGCAACCTGGGGCCATGGACCTCGCGAAAGGGCTTCCTCGTTTTGCTAAAAAGAAATTCTGCCCTGGCCAGACGCAGCAGGGATCTGCCACTTCTAGGAAAAGCACGATGCTTTACAAAACCCTCAGTAGGCTTAATGAACTTATTACAAGAGCACAGAGGCACCATGCCACTCATGCTGATCGCCTTATTTTCGTTCAAACAGCCAAGAGGTGTCATCGTGCACTCACTGAACTCGATTGTCCTTGCTACTGGCATGCACCGGCAGACCCCTCGCTGGTCCAACTCAACGAAACCATTCAATGGATCAATCAGGAAATTGCCCCTTGGGAGTCACTCACCAAAAAACGTCGCCTTGAAGCACGGCGGATCAAGCTCAAAGAGTCAGCCAAGTCGACCAAGAAGTTCATCTTCCACCACTTGCGCAATAAGACTATCACAGAGCCCACCAATTTGGTTTGTGATCCACAAGGTAACACTATCTTCAATCCCTGTGATGCCATCTCCACGATCAACAACACTTGGGATGAAATCTATAGTGCTAATGTCCTCCACCAGGACCCCCTCCAGATGCTTCAGGTCATTTGGCCGTACATGGATCACGAAGTCCAACCCTGGCACTTACCTTCTTTAACAGGTAATGACCTTTACATCACTATCCAAGCTCGCAACCCGCTTGCTGCGCCTGGGTTAGATGGATGGCGTACTACCGACCTTCAGTCCCTACCCAGTGTGTGCTGTGATGCTTTGGCGAGTTTCTTCAATGCGTTGGAAGACGACTGCCACGGAGACTTGCCCCAAGTTTTGGTTCGGGCCAAACAAGTCATTCTCAATAAGCCGGGACCATCCCTCCCGCTTAATAAGAGACTTATCACAGTGCCCTCACCACTACTTCTTGCATATACCGGAACTAGATTGAGGGAGCTCAAAGAATGGCAACAAACTGTCCTTCCCAAACAACTTTATGGAGGTATCCCTGGCCGACACATGACTGACATTCCGCTTGAGATTCGGACGCAAATCGACCAAGCACATGTTGAGGGGAATAGTCTGGTTGGTATTAAACTTGATCAATCCAAGTGCTTCGACCGCATTTTGCCGTCGTTCGCTGGTGCTCTTTTTATTGCATTCGGACTTCCAAAGGGTATTGTGAGCATTTTTCTGAAGGTCTACCAAGGCCTCAAAAAACACCCTGGATGGGTGCAAGGACCGCTGCCTGTGCATAAGCTGTGGCGGCGACTGCTGCCTTCTTGTCCTCCTCCAGGTCCTTCTCCTTCTCAGCTTTCAGGTCGGCTGCAGCCAAGCCTTGCGTGGCCTGGGCTTGGAGGTTGAGGGCCTTGGCCGCCTCGGGGTGGAAGATCTGGAAAGTTGGCCTGGTTCGTGCTCTCCCAGGCGTTGTTCTCGCAGGCTTTGGGTGGTCTTCTCGGCGTCCTCCTCATACTCCGAGGAGAGGATCTCCTGCCTGATGTGGATGCGGTATGGCAAGCCTTGCACATGGAGTGACAAGGTGTTTCACCCGCGGGGCGGTGCAGGCCCTTGTTGGCCTCCAGGCCGGACTTGTCATGTTGTTTCTGGCGCTTCATCGTCCAGATCTTCTCCTGTTGGGCAATTGCCCGCAATGGCAAGTACTGCTCAATGATCCGGGTCGCCAGTGGGGTGGAAAGAGGATACCCCGAAAATTTGCCAAAGAGCTCAGCCATCTCCTTCTCCGAGCATGCCACCAAAAGGTTGGCCAGGTGCCCCGGGATGGGCGGGAACGACGGTGGGAACATGTCGAATCGCAGGTGGTTAATTTGGAGGATCCTCCACCGCCGAAAAGCGGATGGGCATAGGCACTGAGGCGCTGTCTGCCGCCTTCCCTGGTGAAGCCATGGAGGGTCTTCGCCTTGGTCTCAGGCAGCCGCCATTCTGCAGCAGGCGGTCGCTTGGCCGGTCTTGGAGTCTATAAACTATAACCCGCCGGTGTGGGGGGGGAAAAACCTAAGCCCGCGCGCTCAATGGCATCATCATCCGCTGCAGGTGAGGCCGCCGCTAGTAGTTGGGGTTCTGCAGAAATGGGCCGGTGGTTCAGCCACATCTAACATAGGGGCTTGAGTCGATCCATGTCAGGGCTACTGACTGTAGCCGCGTCCTCAGCTCCGTCGGCTGGTTGAGCTTCGGTGAAAGTTTCGACCATCACATACTCAGACTCCATAGGGTGCGCCATTGCGATGGGCGTCAAGAACAAAGACCTATGGGAGAATCCCAAGCAACTAAACCGCACCTGAAAACAGGTTCACAAAATCACCGTTGGCAACTCAAACGAGGTTGCCACCCAACTTGAGCCAAAATGTCCCGGTGGGACATTTTAGTGAATTTTCGTGAACATAAAACTTGCAACCGCAAGCTCAATGCAAGTGTGAATTCCTTAGTCCATGCCAGTGCAAGCGGAATCGTCTGGGAAACTGTCATCCAAGTGATCCCCACGAAGTAAAGGTCTCAAACGGATCTGCATAAAGGCAGAGCATCCAAATGTCCCCCTTCCCCCTCTCCTCCAGGTTGTCACCAATGTGGTGCAATGCATGGTAGCAGAACACAGAGGTAAACACGAAGATGGACCGAAGCACTGTATCCTGCACACTGCGAATACTCAGTGTTCAAATGATCGCTGTACCCTGAGAGGCTAACAGCCCCTCTGAAAGGGCACTGCAAGAGACCTTTTGAGAGAGGGGATGCAAAAAGAAGTCCAAAGAAACCCGGAAAAGTCAGCCCCAGAAGTGCTTTCAAGCATCCATGCATTCACAAATCATGCACCCTGAGCTGAAAATGCCAGCTCCGCAAATTTTGACGGTTCTAGGATCTAGAATGCGCCAGGGTGTGGCACTTTCAGAATCCAGGTGCCCAGTTGGGCAGATCTATCACAATATATCACAATCAATAGTGGCTGACATTGAAAATCCCTGAATCGAAACGAATCCCCTTTGAAATCTTCAGACAACTCTGGGAGTTTGCTATCGCAGTCCATGATGATGCCATTGATCAGCACCGGGGCAAGAAGTGTGTACATCCACCTTGGAGTGCCACAAGCTCTGCAAACGTCTCTTGCGACCTTCTTTTCGACATGACCTTCTGCCCAAAGTGCAAAGCTTGAAAATTTGTTATTAAGGGAAATGTATGTATGTTGGAAAAAATGCAATAGTGTTGTTGAGAATGGGAGGCAAAAAAGAAATCCTGCAAAAAATGTTGTGTTATTTTTCCCAGTTCTTTGTTTCCCATGCTCTAAAAACTGTCTCCTAGCTCCTTGTCTTTGACTTGTCTCCTGTCTTCGTTTGTGAAAAAGGCGCCCGCAGGAAGACTGAGATGATGTTATGGTACGGAAATGGAAACGGTGTGATTGCCACCTGCAGGAGGACCGTGCATGCCTATTTGTCTGTGCACTCACTATCAATGTCTGCGAAGGAAAGGATACAGTATTCTGGTGTCCATTCTTTATTAGTTCACCAAATGGACAAAGCTTCCATTGAGATCATTTTGTTGGAGGCATTGGCAGTTGCAAAAGGTGGGCTGCTCAAGGACTATTGTGCAATGCGCTTTGTTACACTGCATTGCTTTTGACGCACATCATGGCCAACAGCACCAGGACACACCTAGCCTTAGAGGCAGCGCCGAACCAAAGGGTTCCATCAGAGATCACCTGGTACAACCTGTCGCGCAAGCTGAAACTGTGCAACCAGTCTCGGCATGGCATGCCATCCAAAAGCTTGCTTGCTTCGAGCTTGGCCAAGTTCAAAAACGGCTTGTTGATCCAAGAAAATTGGAAGAGTCCAACGTTGAAACAGCTTGTTTTTTCCATTGCATCGTGGAGTCATGCCGTTGTACACCCCATATCGCTATGCTTTGCTTACCAGAACTCAACACTCGTAGAACGACTCAAATCGCCCTCTGAAAACCAAAGAGACCCTAAGCCTACTAGGCCATGCCCACCTGCTGAGAATTGGTGGTGAAGTGGCGGAAGATTCACCTACAGCAAGCTCTGCTGGACGAAACTTCCCCTTGACACTGTGTCTGTGCAAAGGACCACTGTACCGGAGATCGGTGACTCCATTTCAGAGGCCAAGCCATGTCACACCATTGCTTTTTCTATCTTTTTCTTAATCTGTCTTTTTCATTTTGTTCTTTACGTCATTTGTCTTGACAGTTTCGAGACCTCCCGTCACCCAATCCTTGTTCGAACTTCTGGCGGCCAATGAGCCGTCGCATGAACCAGCCTCGCCACTTGGGAATGTTGTCTCGCACTTGTTGAATCAAAAAGGAAGGCGTGATTGTGCCGGATGGGCAAGTCGCGCAAATCAAGCAAGTCATGAATTGTCATGAATCACGAGCCCCCATGAAAGAAGTCGAACATATTCAAAACGATTATATATCCTGCGGAAATCACCCGAGCAACCAAGCCGAGCTAGTCAAATACAGGAACTTGCTGAATGATTTGGTCTATTTGCAAGACTTTGACTTTAAATACACTTGCAACTGATTCAAGTGGTATCCAGCTTGCCGAGCTCAGTGTGGCCTTCCACCATGGCAACTCGCGCATCTGTGGAGAGTAGATTTCCTTGGGAGTCCGCCTCGGCTCAGTCCAGACCAAACAGTATCCTTCAGAAGGCATCATTTAAGTCCTTCGCATTTCTGGATGCCTATAACCGGTCTGGAGTTGTCTCACTGCCATTGGCGGCAAGAATCGCAAATGCTCAAAACCCTCTTGCAATGCGAGCCCAAACCTGTGTTTATGAAGGTCTTTTGCTAGTTTTAGTTTCCGACACCTTCCATGACCATGATCTCTTCTGCAAAGGCTGTGAAATTGCGTGAACCATTGTCGTTCCCAAAGTTGTCTGGCTGAAGTAGCTTCTTCGGGAGCATTGAAACTCTCAAGCAGCCCACAAAAGATTGAAGGCCAATGCCATGAGGTTGGATTCCAATCTAACAGCGATGGCCTCCAACCTAGCCTAAGAGCGATGGCCTTCAAATTAAAAGCGATGTGCTCCAACCTAAGAGCGAGGGCCTCCAACCTAAGACCGATGGCCGTCAAATTAAAAGCGATGTGCTCAACCCAAGAACGATGGCCTCCAACCTAAGAGGGATGGCCACCAACCCAATAGCGATGGCCTCGTTCTTAGGTTGGAGGCCATCGTTCTTAGGTTGGAGGCCATCGCTCTTAGGTTGGAGGCCATCGCTCTTAGGTTGGAGGCCATCGTTCATAGGTTGGAGGCCATCGTTCTTAGGTTGGAGGCCATCGTTCTTAGGTTGGAGGCAATCGCTCTTAGGTTGGAGGCCATCGTTCTTAGGTTGGAGGCCATCGCTCTTAGGTTGGACACCAACGCGCTTAGGTTGGAGGCCATCGTTCTTAGGTTGGACGCCATCGTTCTTAGGTTGGAGGCCATCGTTCTTAGGTTGGAGGCCGTCGTTCTTAGGTTGGAGGCCATCGTTCTTAGGTTGGAGGCCATCGCTCTTAGGTTGGCCTTTTTTTTTTTCGGCCTTTCATACGCAAAGAGCTCAGTGGCGTCTTAGCGCTATCCTGTCATGACAAAAAGCCATGGCTTCCGTCGGAAGTCTTGGTGATCCTGGGATCAAGTGCCTAATCAGCAAAAAGTGCAAGCATCTGATCTATTGCCGGCGCTGCTGGAGTGTTTTCAAAATTTACCGTCAACCTGCACAGATCGCTCTTACGAATGGCCCAAATCATCATCACCTGGGTTTCAAACCAGCCAGGGAGCTTGGGAGCTGAAATGCAGCGCGTGTCATCATCACTCAGCAGCCACTCAGTAGAGGTCGGATCGGCAAGGCACTTCAAGGCAGCTCGGTAGTGCCCAGCTCCAGGGAGCCCCAAGTGTGCCAGAGCTGCTGTGGGAACAAACTCATGGTACTCAACCTGGATTCCATCACCTGAAAAGGAAGGGATCTTGAACTCAGCATCGATCAACACTCTGGGCATGAGCTTCTGACCATGAACGGTGCCTGCCAAAGGTCGGAGTCGGTCCAAGTGTATGCAGATCATGGAGGGAAGGTGGGAAAAAGCCGTGAGCATTCCTGACTCGGTGCGCCAATTCTCAACAAGGTGGCACAGTGGTTGGATAGGTTCAGGCATGACTCGGAGGTGCAGCAAAATAGATCCAAGAGCATGCGCATGTCTTTTTACAGCACCAGTGGCTCACTCAAATCGTCTTTCCCACATGCTATGAACAGCAGCTGAGTCCATCTTGGACATGAGAAAAGTGGTAAATTCGGCAGCATCATGCTGACAGTTACCGTCCCAAGCAGCAAGGTGGTCCATGAATGGCCGCATCTCGAGAATCAAGAAGGGATCAGTGCCACATTGCAGCATATCCTTCAAACCCTCTTGAAGGACACCCCAATCATCAAAAGAGAAGTGCTGCCGATGTAGATTGGCCCATACCATGGCAATCATGGAGGAGTTGATATTATAGCAGTGGTTGGCAGGGTTCTGCATCACCCAGCTGGCCACTGTAGCGGCCAGTCCATTGCGTTCTTCGGCAATCACAGACGAGTGATCATGTCTTTGATCTTCAAGGCCAACGGCGAGGCTTTCAGGCTGTGAGGTTCATCTGAAGGCCGGCAATCTGGAGCAGGCTTAGGTGACAGCAGGAGGTCATCAATTTGTGGAGACGGTCGTTGCGCATCCCCACCTGAAGCTTCCATGGTTGGCTTTTCGAGGCCTCCTGTTTGCTCAGCGAATGGAATTTCAGGATCGCTCCCTCCTCCTTGACCAGGGTGAGGAGCTCCTCGAGAAGCTCCTGGGCCGCTGTCATAGCGAGAGGCGGCTTGGACTTGGAGTGGACCAGCTTCTTGTCCTTGCGGTCCCACTGGGTGTACGGCCACGTGAGATCTTCCAAGAGGATGCCGTTCTTCACCATGGTCACCCGTAGTGGATCCTGGTCGGCGCAAGCCATCAGCTTCAGGAGACGGCGCTGCAGTTCTCTCAAAAGGGCCAGGACCAGGTAGGTGCGAAGATTGGAGGTCTTCTCTTTCAGGTCCGTCCACTGACGATGCGCCGCCTGAAGAAGAGGGATACTGCCCTCGTGGCTTGGAACCAAGAAGAGTATGAATGTGTCCTGTAGGGCTGACACCTGGAGGTCTTGATCGTGTCGGAGCATCAGGTGGCCCATGGCTCGAATGAGATCCCTCGTTCCCTTTCCACTGTCTGCCGATCTCGCTTGTTTTGCCCTGTTCTGGCTCGCTTGAGCTGATCCTGATCTCTTCCCATACCCTCCGATTGGCCCCAGCCTTGGAGCGCCGCCAATGATTGCTCCGTGAAAGCGTCCTCCATGGACTCCAAGCCAAAATCGCTCATGAATGGGGAGAGCAATCAGCGAGGAGATCTGGATCAACGTTGGACAGGCAGGTAGGTGGGCCTGGAGGTCATCTCGAGCCATTCCACAGAACATGCACCCAAGAGTGGAGTCAGTGGAGGTGGAGAGCAACCGAATGATTTGATGGACAAAAATCATCAATCCACGTTCTTGGCAATGATGATCGACAAGAAGATGTGCTTGCAGGTCGGTTCCATGTCCCCGAAAATCACACGTGAAACAGCAGGAGCTAAGAATTTGAATCAGTTCAGTGCACTGCCACAGCTTGTGAAATTGGCGATCAATAAGCCAGGTGTACAAGGTGGCAACCAGGTCATCAGGCAAAGCACCTGGGCGGAGCAACTGTTGAAGCATATCCATGTCAAACACCCAGGGTACCAATAGCGTGTCATGCAATCGAAGGTGTGTCATGGCTAGTTGACGTAGTCCCACACATTCATGGCGTGCAGGTCATCAGAGCAACCGCAGGATTGCATATACACCCAGTCAGAGGACTGATGACCTGCTTGAGGCTGAGGCCAAGATGAAGAGCATCGTTCCAGAGAATGGAGTGCCGGTCTTGCAAGTGTCGTGAGAGCTCCCTTGCACCAGTGAACGCTCTGCCACAGCACAAGCACTGCACTGTCAAAAAGGTTCGAGCACCTGCTTCACGAAGATATGGACCAAGGCGGCCGCTCAGCAAGGCAGCCTTGAGTTCAGGGCTAATGGCAGTGTCCGGGACGTGCTTGCGAGGATCAAAGTGTTTACAATGACCTTTCGTGATGTGATTTCGTAGGGCATCCAAGGAAGTGACCAACAGTCCACAATGAGAGCAGGCTGGTTCCCCTTCCACTGAGTCACGTTTTGGATCATAACGATGAAGCTGCTGTTGGTGTTCTTGAAGATGAACAGTCAGGTGCACTCGAGCATCAAAAGTCTGGGAGCAAAGATGACACGTCCAGGAAGGAGAGACAGGAGGAGGAGAGCCGGTCTTAGCTGAGGCCGGAACCGTGGTGCTCTGCTCACTGTCGTCCATAGAGGTGTTAGTCAACTCAGCCTGCAAAATGGCAGTCTGGAGTAGGATGGGGCATCCATGCTGCTGCTTCCATGAAAGAGAGCAGAAAGGGCAGGGTGAGCTCTGCACGAGATTCTTCTGTAGTGCAATCATCTGATCAATACCAGGAATCAGCACTTGTGGGTGTGCCTCTCGAAGGTGTACTATCAGATCACGACTGCGGGCGCACCATCTTCCACACTTGAGACAGTGATGGGAAAAGAAGTCACACACTTCCCGATCCTGCTGCAAATCGTGCCATTGTTCACCACGGACGAAGTGGGTGACCCGTGCTCGAAGGGCAGAGAGGTTCATAGCCTGAGTGGAAGCAGAAGCAACAAAGAAATCATCAAGAGAACGCTGTGCTGCTGAAGGCTTACAAGGCACATCATACTTATCAAACGAAAGCTAATCACGCCACAAAGAGGCTGGGATTGCGTGTGAGCTTGACAAGGCAGTGGTATGTTCAAACGGTCGAGCATGACAGCGTTTCTGAGTGATGTGCATACGAAAGGTGCTCCAATTGTCAAACTTCTTCGAACAACGTGCACACTCCGGGAGACCTTCAACGGCGCGCAACTCATAGTCAACGGGTTGAGGCAAACAGAACATTGCATGACTGCGCGTGAAGTGCCGGTGAAGATCAGTCACATCCGTGAAAGCAGCATTGCAAATATGACAACACAGGCCTGATCGAAGATGACAAGTAGGCAGGTCAGCAGGAGAACTCGTGTAGAGGGCCTCACGAAAGCAATCAATCACACGAAGGGAGGCAGACAACGAGAACCGAGAATGACTCACAACAATGTCACAACTGATCAAATTAGTCAGATTACGGTCATGCTGAGACAGCCTGGCCTGCGCAGATCGCCGCAGAGACTCAATGGGATGCTCAAGGCCAAAGGCGTGTAAAACGGCAAGATGACTGTCATGAGTGTGAAAGGATTGATTGCCCGTAATGATACGAAGTTGCTTCATGAGACAGGTGACATGCCGAGCGAGAACACGTGTGGTGAGACCAACTGCCAACAAACCGTATTCAGCACATGGAACAATGCATGTTTGCCACAGCCCAAGCCTAATCTTAAACGGCAACCGGCGTTTGCTATAGAGCCATCGACTCAGGGTCATGGCAGATGATTGAGCTGCATGAGTGCGCATGGATTGGGTTGATGTCTCAAAAGCAGCATAGGAGATGCGAACACCG